GACGCGATGCCTTGAATTGTTCAGCCGTTTGTGCAAGCCAAGACAATAGATTTCACACAAAATATCTTCTAACACATCGTGGTTCTCACTGTTGTGTTCATTTTGGCCTTGAACGCGCCTGGTTTTCATAAGTGTTTCTAGAGAATTTAGCCTCTTCATTCTCATAGAACCGGCCCCAGTTCAACACTCATATAGGTGATTCTTATTGTGAGTATCTCCTTATACTCGTCTTGATTTATGCCTCAATCAAGATATAAGTAATCATTAAAAGCAAAGCTTATCCTTATACTCCTGCATACAACATATGTTGCAGATATCACTCTTACCATAGGAATGGGTAGGGAATTTTTGATCCCTTGGTGATTTCTGGCGAGCCATACATAACTTAGTTGTCCCTTTGAACTTAGTTCTTGGGATCTCCAGTCATATAAGTAGGGTTACCATTATGACGACTCTTATATAATAGGCTTTAATCCCATCCCCTTCGATGAATTATACACTAACTCTTTTGTCAAACCTTTTGTTAATGGATCCACAATATTCTCTTTAGATTTTATATAATCTATTGAGATTATTTCGTTTGACAACAATTGGCTTACGGTATTATGTCGACGACGAATATGTCGTGACTTACCGTTATACATATGATTATGTGCCCTGGCTATTGCAGATTGACTATCACAATGAATGCAAATAGCTGGCACAGGTTTTGGCCACATTGGAATGTCTTCTAAGAAGTGACGATGCCATTCTGCTTCTTCTCTTGCTTTGTCCAAAGCAATGAACTCGGATTCCATTGTGGATCATGCGATGCATGTTTGTTTCGTGGATTCCAAGAAACAGCAGCGCCTTCTAGAGTAAAGACATATCCACTTGGGGATTTTGAATCTTTAGTATCCGATATCTAATTTGCATCACAATAACCTTCGAGTACTGCTGGATATCGAGCAAAGTTCAAACCAAGATCACGGGTGAATCTTAGATATCTAAGAACCCGAATGATCGCTTTCCAATGGTCTTCTCCGGGGTTACTAGTGTACCTACTCAATTTACTAATAGCATAAGCTATATCAGGACGAGTACAATTCATTTGGTACATTAGGCTTCCAATAATTTGGGAGTATTTTAACTGAAACACTGCATCACCTTTATTTTTCGATAAATAAAGGTTGACGTCTACAGGTGTTCTAGTTAAATTCATATCATCCTTGATAAATTTACCAAGAATTTTCTCAATATAATTTGATTGAGATAATGCATATCCGTCAGATGTTTTAGTAATTTTCATACCTAATATAACATCTGCGACCCCCATATCTTTCATATCAAATCTTTTGTTAAGCATCTGCTTAGTTGATTTGATCATATTTGGACTGCTTCCAATGATAAGCATGTCATCCACATAAAGACAAACTATGACATATCCTTGGTCAGTGTTTTTAACATAGACGCATTTGTCACATTCGTTTATCTTAAACCCATTAGTAAGCATTGCATGATCAAATTTTTCATGCCATTGCTTAGGTGTTTGTTTTAATCCATAAAGGGATTTTACAAGTCAACAAACTTTCTTTTCTTGCCCTGATACTACAAACTCTTCGGATTGCTCCATATAGATCTCTTTATTTAGATCATCGCTTAAGAAAGCTGTCTTAACATCCATTTGATGTATTTCTAAATTAAACAACGCTGCTATAGAAATAAGCATGTGAATGGATGTTATTCTTGTCACAGGGGAATATGTGTCAAAATAGTCCAGACCTTCCTTTTGTCTGTAACCTTTAACTACAAGTCTTGCTTTATACTTGTCAATTGAACCATCTGCTTTCATTTTTCTCTTGAATATCCATTTATATTCAGGTATTTCTGATGGAAGATCCACCAATTCCCAAGTATGATTTTGCATAATGAATTCAATTTTATTATTAACAGCCTCTTTCCACAAAGGTGCTTCATGACCTGTCATTGCTGCCTTAAAGCTTTAAGGTTCATTTTCTAACAGGTATGTCAGAAAATCTGGACCAAATAATTTTGATGTTCTCGCTCTTTTACTTCGTCTTAGTTCATCATCAGTTAAATCCTGTTGGCCGAGACCATTACTAGTCTCTTGTGTTTGATTGTCATCAGTCTCTTGACTTTGTGTACAATCATAAGTTCTTTTCTGTGAACTTAATTCCTGTCCTTTCTTGTAAGGAAAGACATGTTCAAAAAACACAACATTTCTTGACTCTATAATAGTGTTCACATTTATATCAGGTATTTCTAATTTATAAGTCAGAAGCCGATATGCACTACTATTCTGAGCATAACCAATAAACACATAGTCTACTGTTTTTGGTCCAATCTTAGTCTTTTTAGGAACAGGAACTTCAACTTTTGCCATACACCCCCACACTTTTAAGTATTTGTAGGAAGACGGTCGATCTTTCCACAATTCATAAGGAGTGCTGTTGGTTTTCTTGTGGGGTATTCTATTAAGAACATAATTAGCAGACAATATTGCTTCCCCCCACAAGTTCTGTGGTAAGCCTGAACTTAGTAACATGGTATTCATCATTTCTTTGAAGGTTCTATTCTTCCTTTCGGCAATTCCATTTTGCTGTGGAGAATAAGGGGCTGTAGTTTGGTGAATAATGCCATGTTGTGTACAAAATTCATTTAATGGTGCATCATATTCACCACCCCTATTATCTCTGATATAAATTAATGAATTTCAAAACAAATTCAAGAAAAAACCAAAATAATTATGACTACTCAAGTCAGAATTAATGTTTTGACAAAATCATATCCTCATAAAAAATTTGCCTAAGAATCAAACAATTCAAAAACCCATTTCATTGTATACATTCTTGCAACTCAATAACAAATAAATGTCACTGTCATAAAAATATTTGTGACAGAAGAAAATTAAATTATCTCAACTAATGCAAGAGATACACCCCCATATTAATAAAATGGTTCATGGTCTAACAAATTCTACTACGCAAGTAAAATAATTATTAATGACATCTCATGTCACATAATTCAATAATCAACATAAAATCAACATAAAAGATTTCTTAAATTACTTCCCAATTAAACAGACCGATATAATTACATACATCTTCATGTTTAAATTTCTTTGGTGTTTAAACACCCATTCAAAATTGATTGGAAAAACTCAAATTAATTAACATATCAATTTAACATTCAAATCACATGAAATTTTTTATTAAGAAATAACTTGAGTTGACATCATACATGCATATCAAACGCATCAACTAAAAATAATGAATTTACACAAATAAATTAATCATGCATGATCCCAAAATTTGCATCATGAAATAAAAAGATTCTCAACTCATAAATAAAATTCAATGCGTTTTGAATTTTAAACTCCAAAATGACAAAACATACCTTCATTTAATAAGTTTGATTTGTACATAAATAAACTAATTAAATATGCATGCAAAAGTCCTTGTGAATATATATATATATATATATATTATTCCGACTCATATGCAGAAACTATTCATGATTACAGATCCACACACAGAAATTTAAATATGATTCAAAAAATCAATAAAGAAACTAAACTTGCCACAAAGGTTTCTTTGTAATAAAAATGAAATTTGTTTGTAAATTAATATTTTACTCCAGAAACAAATTCTCCCATGTACTACGATAAAGTCAAAAGAATTATGATAAATTAACAAAATTAATTTTCTAGTTACTAAAACCAGAAAATAAATTATAACATAAAATAATTTTATTTTCCTTGTTATTTAAACTAGTAAAATAAAATACCGAAATAATATCTGATTACAAAAAATCAGAAAAACAAACCACAAATTAATTTTCTAGTTACTAAAACCAGAAAACAAATTATAACACAAAATCATTTTATTTTTCTTGTTACTAAAACTAAAAAATACTATAATTTTATTTTCTTTGTTACTGAAACTAGAAAATAAAATACCACAAAACTATCTGATTACAAAAATCAGAAAAAACACAAAATAATTTTCTAGTTACCAAAACCAGAAAATAAATTAGTACAAAACTATCTGATTACAAAAATAAAAAAAAAAACACAAAATAATTTTCTAGTTACCAAAACCAGAAAATAAATTAAAACACAAAATAATTTTATTTTCTTTGTTACTAAAACTAGAAAATAATATAATTTTATTTTCCTTGTTACTAAAACTAGAAAAATAAAATACCAAAATAATTTTCTGTAACACCAAATAATATTCTGCAATTGTTAATGACACCAGTATATTACTACTAGTTGTCAAAGAAAAGAGACAGTATATTACTACTATATGTCAAATAACATAAATTACTATTTATTTTTCTAACCAGAATATTACTTTGAAAATACAAAAAATTAAATACTATAAAGATACCAAAAACAAAAATAGAGTGTGTCTGAAGATTGACCGACAGCAACTACTTTGTGGGTTCATAGATCAGGCATGATGCAAAAAATAATAATAAAATTTAAAAAAAAAAAAAATTCTGCAAGTGCATGTGAAAAAATTGATGATACATGTTGGAAAGGAATTCAATTTCACTCCCACGTCACACAAGACAAGATGGGAAAGTCTGATTCACCTGACCCTATTGACCAATTGTAATGGCTACTCAAGATCATAGTAATACGTTATGGTATTCTCTGACTCAATACACTTTCCGTTACATAATTGTATCTCGAGATACATTTTTCGAGAGTCTCACCATTTTGTGTCACTGTGAATGCATTAAAACACAAGGAACAAAGAAATTTTCAGACAGCAGATCCATGGCCATAGTAATACATAGTGAAAACATGACATGTATATTTATTATACTAGAAGGTGTCCTACGAAAATCAATCAGCTGATATTTTATTGATTGACAAAAACAAAATTGTAGATGAAGAGAAAAAAGAAAACTCAAGAAAAAACTCTGACAAATCTTTCACTTTTGTAGGCTTTATGTAATAGAGTAGATACCATTGCTAAATGCTAATACAATGCAAGTGAAAACACAATTTGTATGCATATCATTTCTATAAAAGTACACAATACAATGTCAATCAAGCAGTAGAATTTGAGACCACATCATCTATCACAAATATGTCAATTCAATCTAAGAGTCTCAATGAAGGTTTTTTCTTTTTTAGAATAGAGATGGTTGATGTAGTCTTGGAAGCTACTTCCTCTGTACCCTTTTGGGTGCTCTTCATCCATCAGCTCTGGAGCAGGCTCAACCACTTCATCCATGGCTAGATTGTGAAAACTAGCTATGGACAGCCTGGTTTCATCTGTGCTCGGGACTGCACGGTGTAACACACTCTTGTAGATACCATTGCTCAATACTTGTAGATGATCTCCAACAAGGACTACCAAGGTGCCCTTCATCTCAGGGACAACCCTCCAAGCACCGTCACCACCACTGCTACTGCCACTGGTGTCCACGACATGAAGGCCTGAGCAACTTTGGAGGAGAATTGTGATGATGCTATGATCTGTATGAGACACTACACCAATCTTGACATTTGTTTGGGAACTTGGTGGGTAGCTATTGATGCCCATCATTTGGAATCCTTGCTCCAATTTGTCTCTTAGGTATGTCGGAGCCAAGTTTAAGCTCTCCATAATGGCTCCAAGTACTTCAATGCTTAGTTTCATCACCTCCTTGGTGTACATTTCCATCTTTTCTCTGTCATATTATCATAAGTTTCTTGGTGAGTTCGGTTATAATAAAAGAGAAGGAAAGTGTGGGACAGAGAAAACATTTGAACTTTGGAAAGTGTAAGAAAAGTTGAACTTTACGTACAACCTACAGGCTATATCACTATGCTTATTTGGCTTTCAGTGTGTCTCTCTCTCTCTTTCCAAATAATGCAGGGAAATTTCAGTTTTTTTTTTTTTTTTTTTTTTTTTTTTTTTTTTTTTTTTTTAAATAATGAAGGGGAATTTCAGTTTTTTTTTTTTTGGTTGCAAATTTCAGTTTTTTCTCAATTTTAGTACAACTTTTTCTCAAAAAATTCATCTTAAACAAATGCATAAGAAAATAAATTTTTCTTTCACTTTTCTTTATTTCATTTCACTTTATATCACTTCAACTTTTTAGCATATTTTTCATTCTTATCAAGCAAACCTTAGCGATCTATGGAAAATTGTATGCTTTTTTCACTTCCTTCACGGATTTAAACAAATGGTCCACCATATCCCCCAAAAAAAAGAAAAAGAAAAGAAAAGAAAGAAAGAAGAAGAAGAAGTAAAAAGAAAAAAAAAGAGCGACCCATTTTGCTAGATAGAGAGCCACACAGAAAGTGAAGTCTAGTGAAATACTATATAATAGCCATCAGATGTTTATTGTACTGAACCAAATATAAGAATAGACATTCTAATAGAATGATCATTACATTTCAATTCATTCTAGTGAACTAAACACTACCTTAATATAATCCCATTCTAACATCCTAGTCCTCCTATAAAAATGTCACGTCCTTGAAAGAGAGTAAAACAAATTAATGCACCCACAATATTTAAAATTTTATTATTTTATAATAAAAAAAATCCAAACCAAATGCTTGACTTGTATTAACATAGAGATCTTAATACTAATAATGAGTTTTTGAAAATGGAATTTTCATTTCCTCTTCTTTTTTTTTTCACTCTTGTCATCCAAACGTAACTTAGAGCTTCTTCATGTAGGACAATCTTCACTGTATTTAAAAGGATTAAATTCTGTTGTGTACAAAACAACAACAAGAATATAAAGAAATAAAGAAAAGGAGAGAATTTGTTTGATTACAAAAATCAAACTCGAAATAATAAAGAAATAAAGAAAAGGAGAGAATTTCTTTATATCATATTTTTTATTCTAATCAAACAAACCTTAGGGATCTATGGAAAATTATATGCTTTTTTCACTTCCTTCACGGATTTAAACAAATGGTCCACCATATCCCCCAAAAAAAAGAAAAAGAAAAGAAAAGAAAAGAAAAGAAAAGAAAAGAAAGAAAGAAGAAGAAGAAGAAAAAATAAAAAAAAAGAGCGACCCATTTTGCTAGATAGAGAGCCACACAGAAAGTGAAGTCTAGTGAAATACTATATAATAGCCATCACATGTTTATTGTAGTGAACCAAATATAAGAATAGACATTCTAATAGAATGATCATTACATTTCAATTCATTCCAGTGAACTAAATACTACCTTAATATAATCACATTCTAACATCCTGGTCCTCCTATAAAAATGTCACATTCTTGAAACAGAGTAAAACAAGTTAATGCACCCACAATATTTAAAATTTTATTATTTTATAATAAAAAAATCCTAACCAAATGCTTGACTTGTATTAACATAGAGATCTTAATACTAATAATGAGTTTTTGAAAATGGAATTTTCATTTCCTCTTTTTTTTTTTCACTCTTGTCATCCAAACGTAACTTAGAGCTTTTCCAATGGCTAGGTTTTTTGACAGCCAAACTAATTTCAAGAATGGAAAGTATTATTGAAGTATACGCTAGGTAAAGTAAAAAAATTAATGCCCAATTAGTACCCATTAATGAATGTTTGGGATGAATTAAATTGGTTACGTACCTAACCTTTGGCATTATTGGCACCAAAAATTCGAATTCTATGTCGATAGACATGTCAAAGAGCATGGGCATGAACAATAAAGGTCCAAGAATCGTGGACATGAAGATAGTGGCTTGGAGAGAAGATCAGGGACATAACATGTGGCAATTTCAAAGGAAAAGGAAGCTTTTGACAGTTGCAGCAGTTATAGATCATGGGTAAGTGGAAGCTACCAACAAAAGGGACACGTGGTTGTTTGAAATGGCTAGTGGAGGAGAATAAAAGCTGGAAATGCAAAGAGAGAAATGCCTTCAACCCAATTCACAACACTCGTGAAATCTGGGAGTAGCAGTAACTTATCGAGGAGTAGTTCAGTACTTGTACTTAGGAGTAATAGTAGTTTCAGTTCTTGTAACTCATTTTGGACCTGTCAATTGTAATGCTATAAAACTTGTAATTTGATTTTTATAATTAAGTGGTAAGTTTAAGTGTTATTAATCATATTTCTAGTGCGATTATCTCTGTTTCTTCACATTACAACTTCCAAAAAAATCTTTGAATCTGTCAAGGCTTAGCACACCAATCACATTGCTTGATTTGTTTGTTTGTTTGTTTGTGAAAATTGATTTCTCTATCAAATCCGCTTTGTCGATTTAACACAAAATTTTTGCTAACAGGCATTAATACAAAGAGTGGGCCAAGTTTTTAATTACCAAACCAGTATTTACCCTTATACACTAGGCAAAATGATCAAACAAAATACCCAATACGCTTTTTTTTCTTCTTCTTTTTAATGTACTTTTTTTAGGCAGAATGCTTACTAGTGTTGGAGGTACTCTAACAATACCTAACCATTGGAGATGAAATTAAAGGTTGAATAATAGAGTAACATTTGTTATGCAATTGTGTCACTTTCAGAACCTCAAAGAATCAATTGAGAATTTGAAGAAACATCATGGGAGCTAATTGTAATGAGGCAAAATGTTACTCCATTTTCAAAGAATCACCATTGTATCTTATTTTCTGATTTTGACCTGAAAGCAACCCACTTGTAGGCTTGCTTGGTGGATTTGATTGATGAGTAGAGATTTTGTGTGGGGATCAGTTTGGTGCAGGAGAGAAAAGTCAACTATGGGAACAGTGTGATTTTCATGATCACTAAGATGGGTTTGGGTTGAACTCATTTTTTTTTTTTTTTTGGAAGTAGAAGATCTGTTTGCCTCTGCTCTTCTGTGTGAGCTTAGATTTATATTCAAACCAAATATGGTACCAGCAAGCAGAAGAAGAAGAATCATGTGATTAGGCAGCCATGATTATCACTCTCCTGTATAAAATAACTTAGTTTATAAATTAATGTTACATCATGTCTGAGGGGACTAAATATAAAATGGGTCGGATCCAAACCTTGAGCCGGCCCAATCCATTAGACTCAAGTCCTGAGAAGCAGGGTAAGCACGTGGCCCCGTCAGATTAGCCAAATTACATCATCCACAATTCACCTAAGTCCTCAAGCACTTGGGCCTAGCCTGTAGTGGAAAGGTCAGTTCAATCACGATGCTGGGCTAGGCCGAGCCGCAGGATCTGATCCTTAGACTGAACCTAAAAGGGGCCGAGCCTATACAAAGATATCTTACTGGGCCAGCCCATTTCTACAAGCAATCTCACAGAGGGCTCAGCCGAGGCACGATGGTACCAAGCCAAAAGAACCCAGCAGAGAAACGTGGAAGCTGTGAATGCATGTACATGGAGGGTGCCACCTCAGCTGGTCCGCTCCCCCTAGAATCACAGAAACAGTTGATTGAAGGATTGCGATCTGTTACAAGCATGGTTACAATGAGTATATACACCCCTTGTCAACTACCAGATGGTCCCCCACCTTGGGCAATACTAAAAGGAGACATTGTCACACAAGGACTCCATGAAACCATCTTGGGCAGCAAGCAAAGAGTTCTATATAAATTACACTGACTTCACACTGAAGGTAACTAAACTTAGCTGAACTATACTCACCAAAACACAACTCCCGGCACAGAGAGAGTATTCCTCATCTTCTCCGATCTTTCACTTGTGAGATCCCGAATATAAAAATAAAGTAAATAATTACATAATAATAATTTTACAATATCAAATATTTTATTGTGAATCTTTAAGTGCGAATTAAATATTATTGGAGGGTCTTTTAATTAATTTTAAACTTAAAATAAATTTATGGTGAAAGTATTTAAGTTAGAGACAAGATTTATTATTTTTTTAAAAAATAGAGGGCAAGTTAGTAAGTATATTTTGTTATAATAATAGTTATATTTTATTTAAATTTATGGGTTAGAAAATAAAATAATATAAAGAGATAATAATTTAGAGGCTTTTGTTTAGATATATAAGGTAACCCTAGGTTGCCTAATACATTATACAACAACACCAACAGCAGCCACGGGGAGAGAGAGGTTAAGAGAAAAGAAGAAGAAGAAAAAAAGGGGTTGCAAACAAGGAAGAACTTTTGGGTGTGTGGTAGGTCTCTATCTTTATTCTTCTATTTGTTTTTGTTCTTTGTCCTTGCTCTATTATTATTTAGTTCATTGATGAAGAGGTTATAGGTTTATGTACTTTGTATATATATATATATATATGTGCTGTTAAGAAATCTAAGGAGTTAAATTCATGTATAAAGAATGGGTGTAATTCTTAGTTCAAAAATTTTGCACAGAATCACAAACTTTAAAAATCAAGAAACTATGTCAAATGGATGAATTTTAAATTGAAATTTTTACAGTAGATTAATTACATATTGAATTGCATATCTGAATTTTCTCATAATTTTTGGGAGTCAAAATCTATATTAACTGCGGCGTTCAAATCTGTCCAGAAAGTGGTTTAAATAGTAACTTCGGAAGTGTTGTTCTCTTTGGGTATAAATCCGAAAATTATCAAATCAGCATCATTAGAACCGGTTACGAGTTTAGTTTCATATAATTTTGGCCTTGCATTGATTGCTCGTATATACTAAGAGAACCATTAATTTCTTTAAAGTGCTGTAGAAAACAACCTGTTTGGGCATAATTAATTGTAAATAATTATTTTGATAAGCAAATCAAGTAAAACCAATTGGGTTTGAAACTTAGGATATAT